CTAAACTCTGCAGGACACCGGCCCTCCAGGACCGAGTTTGGACAGCCCTGGTGTATAGTCTTAAGTTTTTAATGTTAATCAAACAACAAAAGCCAAGGAAAAAAACAGGAAATCACTCACTGCTGTTGACTGAATCTTGATTGCAACTTTAAGGATTTATCTTTAATTTATACAGTCTAATATGCAATGTTATTTTACATTTGATTACTTTGTTCAATTTCTGTAACTAAAAACTAAAGTTAGACCAACCTAAAAAAAAAACTGAAAAGCACTGTTGATTTTATTTGTATCTTTGCTCTATTGTATCTATTTGTGCTGTTGCTAGAAGTTAGATTATTTGTTCTTATTTTCTTTATTTTTATTTGACAGTATAGTCATTTTTTCCCTAAACATAGCACATGCCGAACTGTATCGAAACAGTGACTCTAAAACGGTGATACAAACTGAACCATGAGTAATTTGAACCGTTACACCCCTAGTACTTACCTCTTCCTCTGCCTCTTCCCCGACGGCCTCGCTCCATTCCTCTGCCTGCAACTCCACTTGCCTTGGCCCCATCCAACCCATTCTCCTGCCCACGGACTGAAGAGAGGAAGCAAAGAATGGAATGAGTTTAAGAAAAAATACACAAGATAAATAAATGAATGTAATAAATGTAACTACTCCTACAAAAGAGAAGCCCAAGAAGCCTTGTTTGAGTTTCCCAGAAGTCTCAACACAAAGACACTTTCCTTGGACATTATCCTTGATTTTTATTTTTTTTTTAATATTATTGGTTATTGCACTGAAATAATTGCATTAAGTGATATGCACGCTTTATATTGAGGAAGGTTAAAAGCAGCCTCCATTGTAAAAATATCAGAATACTGATGTTGCACAAAACCAAAAGCAACAAAACACTTCTCGAACTTTTACACGTTTTATGACGTTTAACGTTTAAAGTTCTTTTGGTGTTCAGGAATAGCATATATTGTGTTTTCTCATTACCTCACTTTGACTGGGCAGCCTATCAAATGATCTCTGAAGACTAACAGCTCTCAAAGTCAGATTATAAATCAAACCACAAGACTTGATTCAAAGTATATGAGCCTTATGTTGCTCTCTACCTCAGACTGAGGCTGAGAGAGAGTATCCGGTAGCAGCTCAAACTTTACTGTGGCACACACTGTCCCTTCAGCACTATAGAGAGAGCAGTTTGTGGGGTTTGTGGTGTGCGCTGCAGTCTGTCCTGAGGCTGACTGCAGACTAGGAAAGTACAGTTTCTCTTAAATAGCCCAAAGTAAAAGTTGAATTTAACTAAATGCCTCATTTAATTGGGAAAACTGTGTCAAAATATCTTTCAGACTAAAATAAGGAGTAGCAACAAAAGCATAAGTAATAGGGTTGGGCCGATAGACGATGCCATCGTCCATCGCTGATGGCTGACAGACATCACAATCAGTGGTCGATATTTGGCATTTTTCAAATATCGGCATCGGCCGACACGTTTTTCTGTTTGGCCGATGCGTTCGAGGCGGGACCTTTATTTTGACTGCGCACTGGACTTTTATTTTGGCGGCGCTGAGAACGGCAGCGCCTGCACACACAGTGTTCACATTGTCCTTGTTCACTGTCGTCGCTAACAGTTCTGTCTAATAATCAGAAAGAACTGTTAAGGCTTGCAAACTTAGTCGAATCCAGCTGTGAGATCTTGTGAAGTGTGCATTTGTATCCTGCATGATCGCGTGTACTCTGCATGATGGTCGGTCCGTGCGAATTGAATGTGGACAGAAGAGTTCAGCTTCACGCGATCGACTAACTTTAAACTCATGATTTCAAATGATGCTTCATGCTTTTGCCCAATGTCATATTCATGTCATTTTCACTGTGTGCTGTATGTAAAATGAGTGTTACCTTGGCTTTATTTGACAAAATATGATTCCCAAATCCCAATACACACAAACTTCCCAAATTACTGAATGCCCTGTTGGTTACAGTGTTTACTTGCTTTTTAATTATATTTTTTATTAAATATTTATTTATTTGTGAAAAAACTGATTGCCACCATTGATGGACAATTTTTTAATAATATTAAGAATATCTGTATGACATGATATTCTGCAGTTCTTCCCTGTTGTACCGAATATCTATACTTTCAAATTATCACACTGAAGTTAGAAATTCAAATATTGTGACAAAATTAATTTTGTAGGGTGCCACAAGTTTGTTAATTTCCAAAGGGTGCCGCGACTAAAAAAAAGTTGGGAAACACTGATTTAGAGTATAAGTTTATTTTACACATTTATTTTTTTAACCCACTTTCAAATTATTTAAAATTTCTTAAATATTAATTAAAATAAAATTATAATTAAAATAAAATTATATCAGCTTCATATCGGCCACCCTGCTTTCCAAGATATCGGCATCGGCTGTCAAAAAACCAATATCGGACGACCACTAATCACAATGTTAAGCTGACATCGTGATACCTCCCCCAACCACCCCCTCTCCCGCAATCCGCCGCATCCCAGTTCCGTGTTCGGAAAGGAAATT